ACTGCGTCAAACTCTTCCAGACCACCCATCAAAGGTTTTATTGGTGTATGTTGAAGGTATACCGACAGAGGCACTACAAGACACAGGCGCATCACTTTCCGTAATTCGTGCAGACGTTTGTGCCTGCTTCAAAAAGTTAGGACGCCATACGATGGCCCTCTCCTTCGTTGCGCAGATGGAGTTCCTATTCAGCCTTCAAGTGTTTGCACAGTCTGCGTTTTCATAGATGGCATCCTTCACCACATTCAGTTTCTTGTACTTCCTTTGTGCACTCACACAGTCATTTTAGAATGGGACTTCCTTTTTTCGGCATCAGCTTTCATATCATGTTATCAGCGATTAATTCATATGTCAGCTACTGAGAGTTCATCTGATGTCGATCCATACAGCTTCCGTTTCGTTGCTGCCGCGGATTGTTTCATTTCGCCAGAAGATGAACGAATTCTCACGATCGCTTCGGATAATATATTTAACGGTCACGTGTTCATTGCTCCATCAGTTCGCTCCAAACCGGCGGGGCTTACCATTGCACCCAGCCTTGTGCGGTTTAATGACGGTAGGGCATTGTTCACCGCCTTGAACCCAACTTCTTCGCCAGTGATGCTGCCCCAGGGCACTGCTGTGAGCTGATTCGCTGACAGCGAGCCTTTTTCGTTGGTTCCTCTTCACGTAGAATCACCGCCTTTGTCTGCTACAACCGATACCAAGGCAACCACTGCTGCTTTAAATGCTACCATAAGTCCTCACCTCACTGCTGAGCAACAAAAAAAGACCTCTTAGACCTTCTCCAAAAGCACAGCTTTTCGTTCGACGTACATTCCATAGTTTTGGGCCGCACCTCTGTTGCAGAGCACAGCATTGAAACTGAAGGCAGCACCAGTGTGCGCCGCCACCCATACCGTCTTTCTTCGGCGGAACGGCAAATGATTGAGGAAAACGTCGGCGACATACTCAAACGGGATATTATTCGACCTTCATTCAGCTCTTCGTCGTCTCCTGTGGTATTGGTCCGGAAAAAGGATGGTTCTGTCCGCTTTTGTATTGATTACAGAGCGCTCAATAAGATAACGAAAAAAGATGTATATCCATTGCCACGCATAGATGATGCCCTGGGCTCCCTACAAGGCGCAGAATATTTCTCCAGCCTTGACCTTCGATGCGGGTATTGGCAAATACCTATGCGCCAAAGAGACAAGAAGAAAACAACGTTTGCAACGCCTGACGGGCTTTACGAGTTACGTCACGCCTTTTGGCTTATGTAACGCTCCAGCAACATTCGAGCGCTTTATAGATACTGTCTTACGTGGTCTCAAGTGGAAAACCTGCTTATGTTATTTGGACGACATCGTAATTTATTCTTCTACTTTTCCTCAGCAACTTAAGCGTTTGGCCGAAGTTATTACATGAATTTCGAACGCTGGGCTTCAGCTCAATACAAAGAAGTGCCACTTCGCCAGCAGAAGCATCTCAGTTTTGGGTCACCTTGTCCGCAAAGATGGCGTTCAACCCGACCCCGACAAGGTAGCTGCCGTAATTAATTTTCCAAATCCGGGCAATCAAAAACAATTGCGAAGTTTTGTGGGCCTGGCGTCTTCCTTAGCCACTTTATCAGTCACTATGCTGCCATTGCGGGGCCGTTACCCAAGCTTCTGACGTCAGGAACGGCCTTCACTTGGACTGACGAGTGCGAGTGTGCTTTCCAAGCCCTTAAACGTGCTTTGACATCAGACCCCGTCCTCCGTCACTTCGATGAGAGCACACCCAATTTCCTTCACACACATGCCAGCGGCCACGGAATCAGTGCCGTCCTCCTTCAGCGCGCCGACACTTCACGTGAGCGAGTAGTTGCGTATGCCAGCCGCGCACTAACACCTGTGGAGCAGAACTACTCGATAACAGAGCAGGAATGTCTTGCTGTCGTTTAGGCCATCCAGAAGTTTCGACCTTATCTGTATGGACGCCACTTCACTGTGATTACCGACCACCATGCCCTATGCTGGTTGTCCTCGCTGAAGAATTTCTCTGGGCGACTCGGTCACTGGATACTCCGTTTGCAAGAGTACACTTTTGACGTTGTGTGCAGGTCTGGCAAACAGCATCAGGATGCCGACGCTCTATCTCGCTGCCCTCTGCCACTTTCATCGCCAACCACGCATCTTTGATGCCCCTCAGGGGATCAAGCGGCTTCCTCTGCACTCATGTTATCGCCCCTGGCAGTTGCTGGGTCACTATCTTTAAACAGCAGCGCTCAGTTTGCCGCGTGCCAACGTGACGACCCATACTGTAACCGCATCATCGGGTACTTGCATGACTCGCCTTCTCCACCTAATGCCAGACTACGTCGTCAGCTACGGCAGTTCAAGCTAGACAACAATGTCCTGCAGCGCTATACTTACAATGTGGATGGGCATCGTTGGGTACCAGTAGTTCTCCGTTCACTGCGAAAACAAGTTCTCGAAGCACTCCACGACGACCCATCAGCTGGACACTTGGGATTCCAGAAGACCTACAACCGTGTTAGGAGCAGTTTCTTCTGGCCTGGTCTTTCTACCTTTGTGGCTAATTATGTCGCTTCTTGTGCACTGTGTCAACACCGGAAATGACCAACTTCTGCTCCTGCTGGATTATTAGAAGCCATAACATGTCCCGATACACCTTTTGTCGTTGTCGGAATAGACCTCGTCGGACCACTTCCCGTAACGCCAGCGGGCCACCGCTGGATCGTCACAGCCGTCGACCACCTCACACGATACGCGGAGACCGCTCCTCTACGCACTAGCTCCGCCTCCGACGTTGCCACCTTCTTTTTAGAAGCCATTGTGATCCGTCATAGTGCACCTCGCACATTGTTGAGTGACCGGGGCAAAGCCTTCATGTCGACAATTCTTGACGAAATTCCAAAAACTTGTGGCACAGTTCATAAGAACACATCCCTTTACGACCCGCAGGCAAATTGCCTGACAGAGCGATTCCACCGGACTCTAATTGACATGATATCTATGTACATCGAACCGAACCACGATAACTGGGACCAAATCTTGCCGTTCGTAACGTTTGCATACAACACCACTGCTCAACGAAACACCGGGTATCACCTTTCTTCCTCGTCTATGATCGTGCACCGACATTCACTATTGACGCCTCTTTCTTTAATGTAACGACAAAAACGACCACGACTACGCCAGAAAATTCCGTCTCCAGGCTCGCTGACGCACGGTAACGTGCTCCTCAACACAGAGGCCAGTCAACTAGACCACAAGCAACGCTATGACAGCTTTCGTCGAGACGTCACCTTCCGTCCTGGTGATGAAGTACTACTTTGGACGTTTGTTCGTACACTCGGATTGTGTGAAAAGTTTCAGTCACGCTTTCTCGGACCTTACATTGTTAGTGAACGAACATCTCCTGTCAATTACCTTGTCACTCCCGTCGAGGTTTCCTCGGACCGTCGTTACCGTGCATCCGAGATAGTTCAAGTTTCACGCCTTAAACCCTTTGTTCGCCATACCTTTCCCGCCTAAGTCTCGGCCGGGCCGGGTGCTCAAGTGCGCGGGGAAAATAAGTGTGAGGATCATTACTCGTTCCACCTTTTCATCTGTACATACTCATCATCACCACTCCAGTTTAGGTTGTGGGGCACATACTCGAGACAATAAAGAAGAGTCTTGAGGGTACTGGACGCCATCTTACAATATATATAAATATATATATATATATATATATATATATATATATATATATATATATATATATATATATATATTGTTCACCTGCGCTGCTCATACATTAGGTGACGTCAAAAAAGCTGTTTTTTTATGCCTCGTGCCTGTTCCAATCACTCTTCCCCGTTTGTTTTCCCCAGCAGTAGTGTGCGAGTTCTATCTTAAATCGACGTTTATTCAATCAACCGACTGAACGCGAGGTATACATTTCACGACAAAGTGTATCCCCATAATAAAAACGCAAAAGTGATAGGGAAGCATTCGTTCAAGTTCTACAACTAATGCACAACAATAAAACAACAGAAGAAAAAAGAATAAAAGGGAGCTGCAAAACCTACCAGGCCATCAGGAGTGTTGGAAGTCGTGGAGGAGCAAGTTGTTGCGAAGACCCTTTATGATATGAGGAAAGTCGGAAAGGAGGCGTACGTAGCGACTGCTGTCTTTGGGGTGCCTCATTCTGCATTGAATGTTCTCAAACGTTGCTTCAGTTCCCAGTACCTTCCCCATCTTTCTGTTCCAAGTCGCACCGTCGCAAGTGACAAAGTCCACGAAAAGATCTGCATCTTCTGCAAGTAATACAGCCTCCACCAGAATTTTCGCGAGGAACTCTCCTTTAACGTTTCCGTGTGTTGCGAACACTGCTAGGACTTGCGTCCACTTGCCTCTGAAAGGTGCAAACATAATCACCATGCCATGGTTGCATGGCTCACTTTTATCTTTTTTTTTTATGTAAAACAGCCTAGATCAACCAAACCTTCAATAGTGGCGGAGGATGTGACTGACAAGTGTTCCGATAGTTTCAATTCATCAATTAGCAGTCATCTGTGTCACTTAGCGTGTATCCACACGACGGACATATCCGCGCAAATCCCTCCCGCGGACGTTCGTTCCGCCGCCCGTCCGGCTGCGAAGCACATTCAGACGACGGACGAAGCGAGCAGACGGACGCGCTGGAGAAAAAAAACATGGCGGCACTGTCTGAAGCGAGAGCTGCCCGCTTCAAATCTTTAAGCTCTTCGTAGCGCATCGCGTGGGCTGTTATTCCCAAACTGATGGTTGTGTAGGCTTTAGGTCTGTGTCCTCGAGCTTCGACGGCAACGTATACATGACTATTTGGTACTGTTTCCGAGCGCCGTACTCGTTTTCTGAAAAGTGTAGGCTTAGCGACCACCGCTATTGCCAATACATGAGCTCGGTGATCTGCGGTAGCGCTGGGGCTACCATATCTCGGAGCTCATGATAATGTGCGAATGTTTGCTTATTCTTTTTTCTATAGATGGCGCGACCAGTCTGAAAGTAGAAAACCCATTCATCGCTAGCCATTCGAGGTTTAGGTTTCCGTCTATGACGCTGAGTTTGAAGTTGAAGTGAATATGGAGGTCGAAAGAAAGCAACGAATAGCTGCAATGGCTGTTGTATTAGCAGAATTAGACGATGAAGCGCTGTTCTTCCCTGTAAAACGATCTTGTTGGCAAAAGGACTACATCGCTAACAAGCATCTGGGTATGCAATATCAACTCTATCGTGAACTTTTGCTTAGCGACAGCCAAGAATACAGGAGGCTTCTGCGAGTGTCGAGAGAGCAGTTTGTCCAGTTGCTGTCGCTCGTAGGACCTCGCATACAACGACAGGACACCGTAATGCGGCGAGCCATATCAGCTGAAACAAGGCTGCAGGTCACGCTACGATACCTTGCTTCAGGCAAGTGTTGCACGTCTGTGCATTTCTACTCGAAACATTGCTCCTATTGTTGCATCCGAGACTGTTCAGACTTGGAGAGCCTCGCTTTTAGAGGTGGCATTACGTTGTGTGTTGTAAAACGCCAGCAAGGTCTTGAATAGGCACATATGTGACACTAATAAAACAAATCTTGCGAAGGCTACGAAAGCCCTCTTACACAGCCTCGCTGTCGTTGATGTACAGTTTGGCACTCTTGGCATACATCTGCGAATTAGTGACGGTATTTTTTTCCCTTTGTGCAGGAGAGAGCCACCACTCCTTGAGTCGCCAATTTCGTCTGGGCCACTCGACTGTAAATGATATCATCCATGAAACATGTAATGTAATTTATGAAGAGCTGAAGAATGAATTTCTCAAAACTCCAAGCACCGAGGATGAGTGGAGAGACGTCGTTGCTGGTTTCAGTAGAAACTGGAACTTTCCAAACTGCGTTGGAGCGATGGATGGAAAGCATGTGATAATTACTAAGCCAGCAAACACGGGAACAGTTTACAGAAACTACAAGAAGAGCTTTAGCATTATACTGTTTGCCGTGGTCGATGCGAACTACAAATTTTTGTACACGGATGTTGGTGCGCCAGGGTCACAGGGAGATGCGGGCGTCTGGCAAACTACGCCTCTGCAAGCACACTTGTCAAACATGTCGGCTGGTCTTCCGGAACTGGTCAAGGTGGGAAGCTTGCCTGATCTGTACTTGCCACCAGTTTTCGTCGGTGATGACGCGTTTCCTCTTGGAAGAAACTTGATGAAACCGTTTGGGGAACGTTCGTTATCAGAAGAGAAGAGAATATTTAATTACAGGTAATTTATGTCACTACTGAAACAGCACTATGTGATATTTAACCGTTTAATCGAAGGTGCGCTAACCCAGATTTGCAGCACACATTAGCATGCTACTATCTTCTCAGTGGTGTAAAGTGTATAAAATTATATCTTACTTTTTTTAATGCTTTACAGGTTATCCAGGGCTCGGCGTGTAGTTGAGAGCACCTTTGGAATACTTGCGAATAGGTTTAGATTTCTGCACACCGTGATTGACGCTGAGCCAAAACGGGTGACATCAATGGTGAATGCAGCATGCGTATTGCACAACTTCCTCGCCAATGAATTGAACGCAGCTGACTCGTGTGCCGACACAACGCCTACTGCAACTCTGTTCTCTACACAGCCTTATTCTCGCGGACGAGTAAGTGCTGTTGGCTCCGCCGTACGTGACAGCCTATGCGAATTTTTGAATGGCAGGGGTGCTGTGTCATGGCAGCGTACGTCAGCCCACTTGGAGGCCGATGTATACAGAAGGCCATAAGATTACGCAAAGATAGTGCAAGATGCACATGCGTTGTCATAAAATAAAGTTGTTGAAAAATAAAATGCGGTTTGTTTAGTTGAAGGGCGAGATCTTGTATACGCTGTCATATGAATGGCATTTCAAATTACGGATATTTACTTAAAACTGAGTTTCATTCACACTGACAACAATGCTGGAGGTAAGCAACGATTTATTAACTGGCAATATTAAATGAGATCTGTTGAGCTTTCTTACTCGCTTTTGTTGATGTAGATTTCAAGTGCGCTTAAGATAGCCTTCTGGCATGGGATCAGCTTATCCTTCGGAACCTCGCGCATGTGTGCAGCAACAACTTTACCAAAATAGTCGATATCATCTTCCTGCTGTGTGGTACTCGCTGGTTGGCCTACGCTTGCAGCTATTTTTTCCAACACAGTTTGCCGTTGGGCCAATATTTCATCTAAACGATGGGGAGATCGGCGCCTTTTCTTCTGTGTTCCTTGGCGGGACATTGCAGAGAGTGCCTTGCCCGCAATTGGGTCGTCCACGGTAATGTTTTGGTCGTCAGTCGCTGCAGCTGCATCGTCTGAGGTTTGTGAAGGATCATCAATGTCTGGTCGTACCTGCAAGACACAAAATGGCGCACAAAGTCTCTCGCAATTCCAAAATGTAATGCTTTGCAGACACACATCTGCGTATCTATTCCGATTACAATCTGTATTACAACCACGTAAAAGCAATGGTACATTATTCGTGATTTGGCGTAATTAGAGCGCAAGATTCAAACTTCAGTGTCAACAATTTTTGGTCATATCTAATTTAAATATAGAAACGACGTTTGAATAATTCAGCACACCAAGCAACTAATCTTAATGTAGAATTATTTTGGTGTGTGTTCAAGCATTGAAAAGGTTGTAAGGCTGTATAAGAAAGTGCTAAGTAATAAAAAATACATATTGTAAAAATTTACGCGGCACAAGAAGGCTTCATCACAAATACGAAAAACAAGGGCAGTTTACCTTCATGGTCTCCGCCGCAGCTTGGCATGCATCAGTGCTCACAGAACGCCAACAGGTCACTTTTGAAGCATCCAAAAACCTGAGTGAATTATAAAAGCGCCAGCGACCTTTATAAACGTCCGAGCTTGGCATTCCACTCTTTGTGGATTCTACTTTCTTCTTCTCCAACCGGTATGTGCGTCTCTTATTGTCAAAGAAGCGCCGAAGGGCTTCTGTAAAAAAAAAAGAACAAAACAGAGGGGGGGGGGGGGTGATTATAAGTACGATTTACACCATGCAGTTTCGGTCAATCACCATCACAACACATTATGCTGAAAAAACGTGGCTGGTGCTCTAACGAATACTGCAGTGAATGTTTTCAGTTTTACCGCAAGCTTACGCATCACAAGCAACGTTTGGCGGACTCGTCGCCATTAACACTGTTCTTGAATTTCGCGCCGATTCCTTGATTAAAATGCATTTTTATTGAGCAGCCCTGCCTCCGGCACGGTAGCATGCTTGGGAATGCGCTGACCACGGCCGTCACTTGTAGACACCAATGTGCCCCACGTCATGCATAACAGGTACATTCCAGAAGGTTATTATCACGAAACCCACCCATATAATAACGCAAAACATAGAGAGTAAATATAAATGGTACTTACTGGCATCGTACGGCCCGTACGCAGGCCACTCCTCGTTCATTTCCTTCGCTATGCGTTCCCATATACTCTCCTTCACTGTTGTGTCCGCGTACTCGGCGAGTGTCATATCCCACAATGCGGGGAACTGCTCAACAAGGCGCAGCAGAAAAAAAGTTGCGTCGTCGCTCAAGTTCATAGTTGGAGTTGTTTGCGGTAGTGTGCGTCGAACGTACTTCCCACGCAAAAACCCAAACAAGACGAGCAGAAAAAAAAACGTGCCTGTTGCCAGACCCTTATAACTTCGTCGGCTAAATTTACGAAACCACACGAGAAACAGAAAAATAAGCGCTTGTTGCCACACTAGTATTGGCGTCCTCCGCTAAATTTGTCGTGTTTTTCCGCGGGAATCCGTTTGCGAAAAAGAGCGTGGCATTTTCCGTCCGCGACGTCCGCGGACGCGGCACGGATGGCGGAAATCCGTGACGTGGGGTCACGTGACGCGCCGTCCGCCGCGGAAAAGACGGATTTGGTCCGTCGTGTGGATACACGCTAAGCGTGTATCCACACGACGGACCAAATCCGTCTTTTCCGCAAACAACTCCAACTCCAACCGCAAACAACTCCAACTATGAACTTGAGCGACGACGCAACTTTTTTTCTGCTGCGCCTTGTTGAGCAGTTCCCCGCATTGTGGGATATGACACTCGCCGAGTACGCGGACACAACAGTGAAGGAGAGTATATGGGAACGCATAGCGAAGGAAATGAACGAGGAGTGGCCTGCGTACGGGCCGTACGATGCCAGTAAGTACCATTTATATTTACTCTCTATGTTTTGCGTTATTATATGGGTGGGTTTCGTGATAATAACCTTCTGGAATGTACCTGTTATGCATGACGTGGGGCACATTGGTGTCTACAAGTGACGGCCGTGGTCAGCGCATTCCCAAGCATGCTACCGTGCCGGAGGCAGGGCTGCTCAATAAAAATGCATTTTAATCAAGGAATCGGCGCGAAATTCAAGAACAGTGTTAATGGCGACGAGTCCGCCAAACGTTGCTTGTGATGCGTAAGCTTGCGGTAAAACTGAAAACATTCACTGCAGTATTCGTTAGAGCACCAGCCACGTTTTTTCAGCATAATGTGTTGTGATGGTGATTGACCGAAACTGCATGGTGTAAATCGTACTTATAATCACCCCCCCCCCCCTCTGTTTTGTTCTTTTTTTTTACAGAAGCCCTTCGGCGCTTCTTTGACAATAAGAGACGCACATACCGGTTGGAGAAGAAGAAAGTAGAATCCACAAAGAGTGGAATGCCAAGCTCGGACGTTTATAAAGGTCGCTGGCGCTTTTATAATTCACTCAGGTTTTTGGATGCTTCAAAAGTGACCTGTTGGCGTTCTGTGAGCACTGATGCATGCCAAGCTGCGGCGGAGACCATGAAGGTAAACTGCCCTTGTTTTTCGTATTTGTGATGAAGCCTTCTTGTGCCGCGTAAATTTTTACAATATGTATTTTTTATTACTTAGCACTTTCTTATACAGCCTTACAACCTTTTCAATGCTTGAACACACACCAAAATAATTCTACATTAAGATTAGTTGCTTGGTGTGCTGAATTATTCAAACGTCGTTTCTATATTTAAATTAGATATGACCAAAAATTGTTGACACTGAAGTTTGAATCTTGCGCTCTAATTACGCCAAATCACGAATAATGTACCATTGCTTTTACGTGGTTGTAATACAGATTGTAATCGGAATAGATACGCAGATGTGTGTCTGCAAAGCATTACATTTTGGAATTGCGAGAGACTTTGTGCGCCATTTTGTGTCTTGCAGGTACGACCAGACATTGATGATCCTTCACAAACCTCAGACGATGCAGCTGCAGCGACTGACGACCAAAACATTACCGTGGACGACCCAATTGCGGGCAAGGCACTCTCTGCAATGTCCCGCCAAGGAACACAGAAGAAAAGGCGCCGATCTCCCCATCGTTTAGATGAAATATTGGCCCAACGGCAAACTGTGTTGGAAAAAATAGCTGCAAGCGTAGGCCAACCAGCGAGTACCACACAGCAGGAAGATGATATCGACTATTTTGGTAAAGTTGTTGCTGCACACATGCGCGAGGTTCCGAAGGATAAGCTGATCCCATGCCAGAAGGCTATCTTAAGCGCACTTGAAATCTACATCAACAAAAGCGAGTAAGAAAGCTCAACAGATCTCATTTAATATTGCCAGTTAATAAATCGTTGCTTACCTCCAGCATTGTTGTCAGTGTGAATGAAACTCAGTTTTAAGTAAATATCCGTAATTTGAAATGCCATTCATATGACAGCGTATACAAGATCTCGCCCTTCAACTAAACAAACCGCATTTTATTTTTCAACAACTTTATTTTATGACAACGCATGTGCATCTTGCACTATCTTTGCGTAATCTTATGGCCTTCTGTATACATCGGCCTCCAAGTGGGCTGACGTACGCTGCCATGACACAGCACCCCTGCCATTCAAAAATTCGCATAGGCTGTCACGTACGGCGGAGCCAACAGCACTTACTCGTCCGCGAGAATAAGGCTGTGTAGAGAACAGAGTTGCAGTAGGCGTTGTGTCGGCACACGAGTCAGCTGCGTTCAATTCATTGGCGAGGAAGTTGTGCAATACGCATGCTGCATTCACCATTGATGTCACCCGTTTTGGCTCAGCGTCAATCACGGTGTGCAGAAATCTAAACCTATTCGCAAGTATTCCAAAGGTGCTCTCAACTACACGCCGAGCCCTGGATAACCTGTAAAGCATTAAAAAAAGTAAGATATAATTTTATACACTTTACACCACTGAGAAGATAGTAGCATGCTAATGTGTGCTGCAAATCTGGGTTAGCGCACCTTCGATTAAACGGTTAAATATCACATAGTGCTGTTTCAGTAGTGACATAAATTACCTGTAATTAAATATTCTCTTCTCTTCTGATAACGAACGTTCCCCAAACGGTTTCATCAAGTTTCTTCCAAGAGGAAACGCGTCATCACCGACGAAAACTGGTGGCAAGTACAGATCAGGCAAGCTTCCCACCTTGACCAGTTCCGGAAGACCAGCCGACATGTTTGACAAGTGTGCTTGCAGAGGCGTAGTTTGCCAGACGCCCGCATCTCCCTGTGACCCTGGCGCACCAACATCCGTGTACAAAAATTTGTAGTTCGCATCGACCACGGCAAACAGTATAATGCTAAAGCTCTTCTTGTAGTTTCTGTAAACTGTTCCCGTGTTTGCTGGCTTAGTAATTATCACATGCTTTCCATCCATCGCTCCAACGCAGTTTGGAAAGTTCCAGTTTCTACTGAAACCAGCAACGACGTCTCTCCACTCATCCTCGGTGCTTGGAGTTTTGAGAAATTCATTCTTCAGCTCTTCATAAATTACATTACATGTTTCATGGATGATATCATTTAC